TCGTTGGAATAGGTTCCAGGCCCTCTCGAGGCTATCCTTTATTTTCTGTCTGTTTATCTCCACAATCTAAATCCTTCTATCTAATATTTTCTGCTGCTCGCACTCAAGAAAACTCTAGGGAACTGTGGGGTTGGTGGGTAAACGCCCCTGCAAATGTCAGAGAGAAATGGTGGATACATGCTTTCTTGCTTGTACTCAGCTTGATTTCTCTGCTCCTACACAGTTCTTATGCACCCTTAAGAACTCACTTATAAGTAAGTTCTCTTATACTCTCTGCATAGGGAATGGTGCTGTTCACAGTGGACTCCATCCTCCCATATCTGTGGACTTAGTTAACACAGTCACCCACAGAAATGACCACAGGCCAACCCAGTGAGGAGAATTTCTCATTTACTCTCTTCCCAAGTGATTCTAGCTTGTGTCAAGTGGACAACGAAAGCTAAGCACGACAATGTATTTATTTGGGAAAGGTGCTAATAAAGAAGGGTAAGGCAGATTTTAAGGGGCATTCCTTTGTCAGTGTGGTTTGTTCTCATCACTATTTTTATTCATGATAAAGGTCTCTAATACATTTGTTTCTTTTACAATACTAGCTTCTTACTGCAGCAAAATTCAAAGTCAAAATTTAAATTCTGCTTTAGAAAACTTACAAAACCAAGGAGGCAGATTTCCACCCCTTGTCCCACAGCTTGGCTTTGCTCCAGTTGTTTGCTGACTCAATCTCAGATACTTGCTGTTCTCTTCTCACCCACTCAATGTTGCTTCCTTACACCTGTAGATTCTTTCCTTACAATGATGCCTTTCCCTACTGTTTACCTTTTACTTGTTTTGTTTTACACAGAGACATTTAAGAGTAATGAGTTTGGACACTCTGATACACCAGTCTGACTTCTCTCAGACACATTTTCTATTGATTCCCTTATATTTCTATATTTGGCACTATTTAGAGGTCACAAAGTTCCATTTGAAAATTTAGCCAACAGCAATCATTTCACCCCGTGGGCCCTAGGCTCTAGTTTTCCCTGATGGTGTTTGTTTGACTCTCCCCTTTAGCCATAGTTTCTTAAATGTGTGATTGATGTTTAACTCCTATAAGATCCATCTTTGAAAACACATAATAGAAAATCAGAAGTCAGGGGTCTGTTTTAGGAAATATGGCAACTAGAGAGTGTCATGATTTAAACGTAAAATGCCCCCTAAAAGTTCATATATTTGAATGCTTGGACTACAGCTAGTGGTACTGTTTTGGGATGCTGATAAACATTTGGGAGAGGAGGCCTTGCGGGAGCAAGTAGAATTCTAATGAACAGTCCTTGAGATTGCTCACCCATGCTTACTGTGTTCTCTCTGCTTCCTTGTCCAATGAGATATGAGCAAGCAGCTGCCGTATGCTCTTGCCTGTATAGCACTAGCTGGCCCTATGACTTCCCTGTTAGGAATGTCCTCAGGTTGTGAATGGGAATGAAACTTCCCTGTGTTCAATTTTGTCTGGTCATGTATTAAGTGACAGCACTGAGGAATGTAACAAATACAGAGGGACTTATACAGCTAGCCTGTAGCTTATTATGTATGGGCTGTTTGTGTTGTTCTAAAGGTATGCTAATATTCTAAGCTGGACCTGAGCATGTGGTCTAATTTGGAAATAGTGTTGTCATGGAGGTATCCAGAGGATGATGAGGTAAGAGTGGCTAGGGTGGGCTCTAAACCTGCACCTGGTGTCCTTATCAGAAGCAAACAGACACAGACACTCAGAAGATTTGAAGATAGATGCAGACATGAAGGTCTATCACAGAAGGAGTACCAAGGATTGCTAAAAACTGTCACTAGCTATCGAAGTCAAAGACTCCTTGCCTATATCCTTCAAAGAGAACACAGATCTTCTGACACCTCATAACCTGGCTCTAAATTTCCTGTATCCAAACCTGAGAATAAATCACTACTGGTTGAGGTTACTGAGTTTGTGGAACCTTGTTACAGCAGCCCTATGAATCTAATACACACCACAAACTCCTTTCCCCAGACTTTCATTTTCAGATCACAGAAAAATATCATTTGATAAAATACTTCTGACTCCTGTGATTTTTGGAGTGAAACAAAACGAAGTTAGAAAACGAACTTCAGAGACCTAAAAAAATATGATCCTAAGCCAGGTGCTTCCAAGTTATTCAAAAATTGTGCAACAGGCCAGTTAACCCAGGGATTTCTAGGACTCCATCTAGAAGCTTTACAAATTTATAGTGCATGTAGGGTCTGTAAGAAATTTTCAGAGACTCAGATGTACACAGGAAAGCTGGGATTATTTTATAGGTAAGGACCACAAGACCTGGGACAATCCTCCTAAATAAATCCAATAGGGAAATACTTCTTATTTGTACATATTTGCATATCTATCTGCTTAGCTACTTAACTTCTGGTCTGCTTCAGTGAGAGCTGAAAGACTAGTGTTATAGACTACCTGTGTACCCTCCTCAGAATTTATATATGGAAATCTTATCGCCATCCCCACCATGGTATAAATCTGAGGTTGAGGGTCTCTGGGTAGTAGTTAGACCATGAGGGTGGAATCCTCTGGATGAGATTAGCTTCCTCATAAGAACAGACCTGGAGATTCTTTTATTCTCTCAACATCCTCCTAATCCTTCCTCCATCCTATACAGTGTGAAGACACAATAAGAAACGGACTATCTGAAAGTCAGGAAGACAGTCCTCAACAGATTACATCTAACAGCACGTTGATCTTGGATTTCTTGCTGTCAGAGAGAAAACTTGGGGAAAGAGATGTGGATGGTTAAGCCAATCACTCGATGTAGCCCTGTAGGTGGCAATGGCTAGACATGGATACTGGTGTGTCTAGATTAGAAACTAGAAATGGATGGACTTTCCCTCTATTAAATCTCACTAGTACCAGTACTATGAAACTCAGAAAGCTCTCCTGTACCATTGCCTCTCACATCTGGTACCTTCTTGTGAGCTGCATGCTCAGCCTAGGCTCTTTAGACTTCCCCTTTTCCATACAAGCCAATGAAAACTTTCTTACCACAGCTGTTTCCTTTCCAATGAAAATGGAGAGGATATTAAAAATAATGGCCTAAGTAATGTTAGAAATTTAAAGCTGTACACATATAACCATGGGCCCTAGCTGATATCTAAAAAGCCTATTACCCAGTAATTGGTTGATAAATAAATATAATTGCTTCTTTTATTATTATCTCAATTATTAAAATTAATGAAGTGTTAAAGAATTTCAGTTGAAAGGTAGAGATAACAGCTAAACTATCTATGACCTCCTTTGCTGAAGAAATACCCCCAAAGATTGCTTTCTTTGTGATTTGCGTATTCTCATGCAAGAACAAAGTGAAGGAAGTGCATCATCAGATGCTTGACCTGTCCTAGAATTGCCAGTGAGCAGGCACAGAACTATGTGAGCACATCCTACCAGAAATAGTCAAGATGATGGAACACAGCCAGGAGCTTCACTTGTTGCAAGCCTTTGCTTAGGGCTTTCATAGACCGGGAATGCCTTCATTCTTTATCCTTCCTTCTCTCCTACTTCTGGTAGCTGCTGTCTTTCAGAGGAATCTCAGTGGGCAGGGTGGGCATTAATTCAGGTTCACCTGCATCCTGTTCTTGGCAACATATGTCTTAGAATCTCTTGAAGCTTATATTTGTGCAGTGTCTCAGTACCTCTCTCTGTATGTTAACGTTCTAGCAGTTAGGCCTGAGATTTGGAGTTGCGATGTGTTTTTTATGCACTTGGAGGACTCAGTTTATGAGGATATGATTTAAAAAAAAAACCATCATGATTCTACACTGGCGGCATATCTTAAAGGTAGAACAAAGGCTCAAGAGGAAGTCAATATCCTCCTGACAGGGTTTTGAAAACTCAAATCTATAAAGCAATAAAGTACAGCACACCACATCCTGTAATCTATATCACAAATGTGAGGCTCCAGCAGTTTGTCTATCCACTGGACTGAGATGGATAGGAGCTACTCTAGGCCTTTGGTGACCTCATCCATGGCAAACAGCCTTCCAGATAGGAGATTAGTGGAGACTGTCAAAAGCTTTTCTGCTGACAAATGCAATCCATGTACTATGACAACCATGGGAACTCTTGGCCCAAAACTGATTATGTTCAACACACACTTGGAGGGAAACTAGTATTTGAATGAGTGGCTTTTGTTTGTGTCAATCAACTCCATTCCTTCACTCAGAAGACATCTTATCCCACTTTCATTGACTCACCAATTATTCACTGAGAACCTTTAAAATGCACTACAAACACCCCCAAACTATCATGGATTAGTGACTCAGGACGAACTCAGAACTTGTCGAAGTAATCCCTTCACAGTGGTAGAAACTCCCCACCTAGGAGCATGTGATCTTATATTCAGGAGTCAGTGACTGCCAGAACGTGTGTTTCTTCTTCCACACAATTTAAAATCAACTGCTTATCCTTTCTATTTTACAGAGTTTACTAATTCATTTATAAATATTTATTTGCTGTCTGTTATATTTCGGGAAGTTCTTTAGGACTAGGGGATAGGGCAGGGAACTTGACAGACAAGGTAAGTCCTCTTAGATGGAATTACTCTAACAACTTCAGGAAAATAAGGTGCACATACAAGATCGGAATATATATTCATATAAACACAAACAAAGTATTGACTAAGGTTTAGGAGAATTTTCTATACAATGAGTGACCAATCTGTTGTTGAAGTCACTGATTCTAGAAGAGAGTATTATGTAAATTACACAGACTCTCATGCTTTATGCTTTGAAGATTTGAATAAAAGGGTAGGTAGGATGTCACATTAATAGCATTTTTGTGAAGCAGCAATTTCTTTAACCTTTTAATTCAATGGAATGACACCTTGCTTTTTCTTTATCCTAAAATCTATCAGGTTCCTTGGATTAAATACAAGTACTTTATACAGTCTTTGAAAACCTTTTCTTTTTTAAAGTAAAGTATTGGCTAACCTAAATCATGGCTTTCCTACCTCCAAAGAAGTACTTCTCGCCAGTCTTCACTTGAAGAGGACTGTTGGTTCGAACTGCTGATGCTTCGTCGCCATCAATGGTAAGAACTGCAAAGTTTTCCTTGGCCAGAAAGCGAACCTCATGCCACTGCCCATCATTCAGCCCAGAGCCTGGGAGGTAGAAAAGGAAAGTTTCCTAAGTTGGTTAAACATAGTTTTTAAACATTAAAGTACAGTGATTTCATGAAAACCCACAATTATATTACCTTTATAGAATTTAATTTGATGTTTGGATAAATTTATACAAAACAGGGTATTTACAGAAATTTAACTATTATCTCCCTTATTTGGGTAATTCATTTGAAGTGAGTTCCTTGTCATTTTGGAATATGTACATATTAACATTTGTTTGTAGTCATTCAGGGAATTCATGTGCCTGAAAGGTACACAGTTTCAGTTTGATAGGAATAAATATAATATTTTCAAAGGTTTTATTTTTATTCTAAAAAATTATGTTTTTGTGTGGGTATGGGATAATGTGGAGGAGTGTGCCTCTGAATGAGAGTATCTATAGGGCAAGAAGAGTATGTAGGAAATCCTAAAGGTAGAGTTATAGGCAGTTGAGGGCTATCTCTTGATTTGGATGTTGGGGAGCAGAACTGTGGGACTCTATAAAAGTGGCATATGCTCTTAACCAATGAGCTATATCTCTAACCCTTAAACAATTTTTAATATCAACAGAGTTAGGGATTTAGAAGTGAATGTTATATATATATATATATATATTCATCTACAAAAACATGCTGCTGCTTATGTTTTGCATTATCTATATTTCCTTAGCATTTTAGATGGCTCTTCCCTCTATCAAATTTAAAAGCATAATATAACAGAATATTATAGAAAACACAATTAGAATGTAATTGGGATACTTGCAGGAAAGAATGATTTGGGAAGTCATTTGGGAAGAAATGAAAAACTATTTTAATTTAATAACTTAGTTTCCAGTTAGCATTGTTAGGTTCCATTCTGAGATAAAAGCAGATTTATTGTGTTGATTTAATATCTCCCTTAATTTTATAATTTTAAAATCTTTTAATGTAATGTTTTTTTTTTCCTCAATAGCCACATCTACATAGTACAGTTTATAGAAATTAAGTACTAAGGAAATGATTCTGTGTGTAGTTGAACATGCTAATTAAGCACTGATCATCATGGGATAGAAGATTATCTGCTCATCAAACCAGGCAGTATGGTAACTGACTAGGTTATATTTCAGCAAAGAAAAGCAATCAAACAAACCCAGGATGCCCACATCCCAGATTTATACTTCATTGTTTCTTAACACATTCTCTAGGCAGGCAACGTTCTTCTGTTCAGCATGTGTTCATTTCACTGTAAATGATTAGTTGCTAACAGAAAAGCAGACATTAGACAAGAGTATTTGGGGGGAGGGTCAAGAGCACTAGGAGAAGTCCAAGAGGTTTGATTTGACCTCGAAAAGGTCAATGCTATGAAAGAGGCAGGGATGTTGTTCCTGTCTTTTCTGGTTGCATAATCTGGAGTATACAGGGAGGAGTTCCCTGAAGATGCACTTCAGTTTCACAAAAGGAAGAGAAGACAAGGCAATGAAGATGTTTAAAACTAAAGTCAGAGTAAATCAATGAAACACAGATGAAAGGTCTAAGCCCTTAATCATTTAATGCCAGGAGTCTGCAAACCATAGTGTGTGGGCCACAACCAACTTGTGTCCTCTTGGGTTTTTTTTTTTTTTTTTATGAGATAAGGTTTCTCTGTGTAGTTTTGGTGCCTGTCCTGGAACTCACTCTCTAGACCAGGCTGGCCTTGAACTCACAGAGATCTGCCTGCCTCTGCCTCCTGAGTACTGGGACTAAAGGTGTATGCCACCAACATCCAGCTGTCCTCTTGATTTTACACAAAGTGTACATTGAGAATGGCTTTTATATTAGTAATTGGTTGAAAAGAAATTGAAAAAGAAAGAATACATACAACTTAGCCTGTATTAGACATGAAAAATTTCATGATTCAAAGTTTAGTGTCCATATAAAGTTTTATGGGACTACATTTAAGTCCACTGGTCTGTAGGTCACTGGCCTGACAATAACTGAGACAACTGTCACAGTCATTAATGTGGCCACTATGCCCAGATATCAACTCTGTGGTTATTCCCATTAAGAACATCAACTAACTGTGGAGCCATACCATCCACAAAAATGCTATTTTAAAGAAAAAAAAAGATCCTAGTTGGAACTTAGAAGATGGCCATAGCATTTACTCATAATAAATACTAGTACAAACAGTGACATCTCATACTTTCCATCAGGAGTAAAATCTGAATTTAGGGGTTTAAACACATTTTGTTGCAGTGGAGAACAATACGAATTGTTCTTAAGGAATCAGTAGGAAATAATTCTCAAGTTATTAAATATATAGTATAAATCAATGTATATACATAACACATGAAACATACAAATGTGTACATACAGTCAACAAAAATGTCTGTATTCACACACTTTGATAGAGTATTCTTAGTGTACACACATGCAAACAGCCACTTGGATCACACCATACCCTCTAGATTATGTACCTAGATATCAACCTAGAGTGTTAAGTTGTCCCCTCAATGCTTTCCTAGCTTCTGTCCTTTCCATTTCAGTCTGAAGTCCCCATCAAGTGGTGTAATCCTCTCTTGAAAATGTAAGCAGGTTCATGACATTTCCCTTACGATAATTTTCTGTTGCTTCTGGGCTCAGTAACAGCACTGGCCAAAGGCCTAATGGTGACAGGGGTGTCAAGTGTCCCATCTGGAATGCCTTCTGTGTGCTGTCTGCATGGTTTGACTCCCTCACTACAGCCTCTGCAAATGCATCGTATACAGAGATTTCATAATCCTGTGTGTGAAATGACATTTTCCCCATCTCCTGACAACACTCTTTTTATGAACTTTATTTTCTCCCAAACAACTGCTAGTGATTAAGTCTACTTCGTCTTCAATTATTTGTTCCTTCATTTGTTTCTCCTACTTTTAAAGAAAGATGGATCTATGCTTCTTTTATGCATATGAGAATTGTGCCTGCATGTATGTATGTACTCTATGAGTGGTAGTGTCTGTAGAGTCCAGATGTGAGCATCATATCCTCTAGAACTGGAATTACAGGTAGTTGTGAGCCACCAAGTAGGTCCTGGGAGTCAAACCATGATCCTCTAAAAGAGTAGCAAGTGCTCTTAACTACTCCCTCATCTCTCCAACCTATAGTTTTTGATAAGTTTTCTGATATTAGAATATTTCTACTATTTTATTTGCTTGTTTAAAATGCATTTCAAACAGTATGATGCACATATTAGGTGTGAAAGAATAACTGAATGAATCTGAGGGTGACCAAAGGAACAGGAGTCTGGCCTTTGAAGTGTCATGGATAGTTATGCTGCAGATGAGGCAACAAGAAGTGGAAAGCAGCAGAGGCTTCCCTGGCCGTGGCTTTTATGCTAGAGGCAGTCGTATGCATAGGGATGGATGCTGAGAGTAAGAAGTAAGTCCTGTAGATGAAATTTTATTCTTGTTAGGTAGTCTGTTTCAATGTTAATACATCTTCTAGGGAATTTGTTCTGTCCCAACACCCATAACTGACATTCCAGTTACTCAATGAAGCATGTTCTCCTATCTTCCAGCATGCCAGCTTCAGCCCACCCTCAGACATTGCAGTGACTTCTGATGATGTGGAAAGTGGAGTGTCTGGCTAGAGGAATTCTGTAGGTTAGGGCCAGTGGTCACTGCTCTCAGGAAATCCCCGGGGGATTGGATCTAGCTATCACAATACCAAACACGTTATCAAAGAACCACTTTTGTGACTTTTGTACCTTCCTGTCCTACCTCTCTCTCTTTGTATGTTCTGTACCAATATAAAATATATTTATGTCCCCAAATTCTTATAGGTCCATATCATTTTTTATACTGATAGGTAACTTTATATTATAATTTCTCATTGTAAAAAGAAGAAGGGGGCGTGTTACTCTATGTTCTTTCTAGAACAAGACAACTATCTTCCCCACATCATTTAATCTTAGTGTTTTATCTTCCTGTCCACACAAAAACTGGCAAATAATTCTTTAATTCTTTTCTTTCTAGCCTTTCAAATATTCATGAAAAGCAATGCAAACATAGTCTCTGTGCTGTAAAATTACTATGCAGATGCAGTCTGATTCTTAAATTAAAATCAGTTGGCTGTCAGATGGCAATAGTGCATCCCGAAACACTTCCTTCTTGAGTAGGTCCCTTTGGGTTCTCCTGCACAATCAATGTCACAAAGAATGTATTTTCACACTCACATTTGCCTTCCAACCAACAAATGGGATGTGATGTGAGTTAACTATAAGAGCATATGGTTTTGATTTGGGTTGTGAGTTTTGTCTTTACATTTTATTGAATCCTTCCCTGAAATGAAGTTTGGGGACACAGGTCTCAAGGACACCATTATTAGAAATATTCAATCACAAATTCAAACACAAGCCTACGGACTCATTCAGGCAGAGAAGTCACATATTTTTAACTGTTCTAAATGGAAGATCAAAAAGCTTTTCAGAAAAATTCCTGTGAAAACTGCATCGCAAAACTGAATTATAAGTGTGACATCACCACCTGTATTGTTCACAACAAAAGGCCTATTATTCTAATCAGATTAAAAATGAAAGGTTATTTTATTTTTCTCAAGGAACTTAATTAGCAGAGAAATTGGACCTCAGATTGCAGGAGCTTTGTTGACAGCCAACCTCTCCATATCCAAGTTTAAACTGTAGTTTCTACTCATTTTAATTCCAATTATTATTTGGAACATTTACTGTTAATCATCAATAGCTATGCCTCAGTGATCTTTGAAAGGAAGGGGGTCCCTGAATATAATGAAATTCATTCTCAGCATAGTCAGGATGACCAAATTGCTCAAAATAAAATGTGCTGTTTCTTTTCTATTTTCTTTGTCCAAATGTTATAAAAAGTAATAGCCTAAGGGCTTTCTCCAGAGAGAAATCCAATTTATGATCTCCGCATATGTGCGTATTTATAGATATACTATTCTGAGTTCTGTGGGCTAACCATGCTGACAAGTACTTTACTTGCATTCCACTCACTTACACTTCATAAAATCTTTAAATATTAT